ATAGATCGGTTCAAGGGGATGATCGATCCTTTACATAGGGTGATCGATCCCTTTTTGCCTTTTCAACACATAGTTTGCTTTTAGGTAAAAAAATCAATCAATCATTTCCCTAAAGGGATTGATCATGTCCAAGCTAGATGGTTGTTTCCTATTTTGTACTCTACTCACCAATTTGATCATTTCTTAAGTTATACAAATCCAAATCACAAATCATTTGAAGATTTAGAAACTAGACTTAAAGAACTTTCTATTCATATAAAATTCATCACCTAATTCTTTGTGTATGAATTATAGTGAATTTTCAAAACTACCAATTATATAGTTTTTATACAAGTACAAAATGTCTAGTAAAAATTCAAAATCTTTTCTTAAAAAATTTGAATTTGGATTTTGTTTAATCCATTAGAAAGTAGATTCAAAGAGCTTTCTAACCATATAAAATTTAAATATTAAAACTTTATGAATTAATACAAAAAAATAAAATAAGTTCAATATTAGAAAAACTTTGTTCTTGGAAAACAATTTTCTTAAGTTAATCTATTTCTCAAAACTAATATTATCAAAAAAGTTGTATTAAGTCCAAAATGAAAAAATTCACTTTAAAAACAACAATTGGACTTTCATTTTAGCTCAAATATATAATGTTTAAAGATAGATTTGGTTTGAGAAATATGAAACCAAGAAAGGTTTGTTTAAACTTTGAAAATCATATTATTTATTTTGTATCAAAATATAAAACTTAAGAACATGTACTGAATAAATCTTTTTTAAAATCTTGATCAAGCTTGTTTAGTTTAATGTTTTGTCATTTCAAAACAAGGATTCATTCAAGGCTAACATAAATGATTACGAAATCTACAAACTACTTTCACATTCTAATCATCATCTCTTGCTAATTTAATCTCGTGTAACTCAAATGAGTAACTATACTTCTTCATTCCCATTTTCTTATGTTACATTTCTTTTACATTTATCTTATTCTTTTGTGATCTGTATTTTCCACTTTGTTCATATGTCAGTTTTATTCTAGATTTCCTCGATGGAACTCCCAAATCAAAGTTTTTAATTTTAACCATAAAACATTATCTTTTTCAACTTGTTTAGCCCATTAAATCAATGCTTCCTGACTACAAAACATATGCATAACATATTTAATTTATCACTTTTTGCATTTATATAAACTAATATTAAAAATATAATCTTTATGCCTTCATAATAAAATAACATAAATAACAAAATCTTATCTCTTTAACCGTAAAAATTAGAATTACAATCATATTTGGTATTCAAATTGTATGGCGATTGATTCCACTATATAATTATAGTTTCCAAATTATTTTGCATATGAAAAAAAATTAAAAAATTAAAAAAAACATAGTACAAATTTGGATATTTGATACCAATTTAGCATTACTAAATATGCATATTTGGTAATGTGCAATGCTTTTTGGATATGTATTTTTGTAAACTCTTTATGTTATTGAATATGCATATCCAAAAATAATATTACAATACAGAAAATGCATATTTGGTAACATAAAGAGCTTACTGGATATACATATTCGATAATGCAAAGAACTTATTGGAAATGTATATCCAGAAAGCATTATACATTATTGAATATGCATATTCGATAAAAGTAATATTATTTTTGGATATGCATATCTATATTCTGTAATCATATTTTGGAAACATAATTCTCAAATGTGCTAATTTCCATTCAAAATTGTTGTTTTTTTCGTAGGCTTATCCCCACTGCTATTTTTTTTCCTATTTGGCTATCTATTTTGATAATATACCATATATGAATATTACTTTTAAGAACTTAGGGTTTGTGATAGAAAAATATAGGGAAGAAAAAAAGAGAAATAGAAGAGAAAAAGAGAAATAGAAAAAGGTGTAATGAGGGTTAAAAGGTAATTTCCTAAAGGATAACTTAGTTATTTCACTTAAAGGCAATTTGGTAATAAAAATTTTAGGTGTAAAAAGTATAAGGGCTTCATTTATGCCTTAAAAATTACTCTATACACTTATTTTTCTAAGTACACCCTTAATTTAAAATCTAAACTTAAATTTGCTTTTTACACCTAAAAAAATTATTCTTGTTTTCCCGTAAAAACACTTCATACCTATTTACTATTTCTTTTTTCTTCATTATCTCTTTATGGATATGCAAATTCATAAGTTTTTAAAAGGTTATGGACATGCAAATCCCTAAGCTTTTAAAAACCTATGGATTAGCATATTTGTAAAGATTTATAAGCTTACGAATATACAAATCAGTAAGCTTTTAAATGTTTACAAATATTACAAACCCACAAGCTTTAAAAACTCATAGATTTACATATCTATTACCTTTAAAAAACATACATAGTTACAAATCCTACTTCTTCATTTTTTATCAACTATGACAAATTTCATTGTCTAGAGAAATTGAAAAAGAAGAAAGAAATGGTGAATGCAATTAACTGTTGCTTATCTTTTTCATGCTTTATTATTTAATCTAAGTTTAAAAGCCTTTAACTTAAAAACAATATCGACTTTTCTTCTTCTTTTTCTTCTTTCTTTTTTCTCTTTTTTTTTTTTTTTTTCTTCTATTGTCCAAAGGTAACTTTTTTCTTATTGTCTTATTATTATGTTTTATGCAATACACATTTCTCTCTTTGTTGAGTTAAAGTGAAAATCAGGATAAAATTTTTCTTCCACTTATTTTTCTTTTTCTATTGTCCAAAGGTTACTTTTTTTTTCCTATAAGTTTGTTATCATGTTTTATGCAATATCTATTTCTCTTTTTGTTTAGTTAATGTGAAAATCATGACAAAATTATTGACTTGTTAAGTTTCAACTAATAGGTTATTATAAAAAAAAGTCTTTGCTATTATTAGGTTTCGTTTGGAAAATGGAAAATAACTTCTAGAAAATCAAAAATTTTTTTAAAAGAGATTTTTCAGAAAAAAATTTATTTTCTATTGTTTGAATGATTTTAAAGGAAATTAATTTCTAATATTTGTTTCAATTGAAAAACATCAACATTTTTTTCTTTTTTTCTTTTTTTCTCTTTATCTCACTATTACTCTTTTCTCTACCCAGAAACATCACAAACCTTCAACTCTATTTCACCTAATTTGATCTTTAATCCAAATCAAGCAAAGTTTTTCAAAATACATAAATCCCATTACTTTTTAAATCTTATCTAAACAATGACAACATGGAGAGGAAACTATAAAGAGTTATAGCTAAATTAAGAATAAGCCATGCCCAAAATCTCGACTATCTAAAAAATTTGGTAGTACTTTCCAAAAGTTTCTATTGAACTCATTTTGGCATATTGTGTATCTTTTCCTCAATTTTGTCCAGATTCACAATTTTGGTTTTCTGAAAAAATCTTTTATGGAAGCTTATAGTGTTTTAGTAGTTGCAAACAGAAACTTAGAGGCCAATGAGGCTTTTGGTGGTTAAAGGAAAAATAGGATGTGAAGGAGATAGGTTGCACTAGTTGCTTCAGAGGTGGCTAGAGTTAGATGATCTTTAAGGTTTGTAGGATATTGTTTAGGAACCTGAGGAAGAAAAAATTAGCAAAAAGAACAAAAAAAAAAAAAGAAAAGAGATGATATGTAGAAATTGCCTTTCGGACTAAAAATCTAAAAGACAATTTCTTCAAAATGAAAGCTTTTTGCCTTTGACTCAAAAATCATTTTTGGTTGACTTAATTAGTTTTTGATATCCTACTTAAGAAAATGGAGAAAATCACTTCTAAAAATTTTTTCAATTGAAACAAATAGACACTTAATTTAGATAAATTTCTTTATATGGTTTCATTGCAACACTTTTTTGGTCTTTTTTTTTTATTATAATTCAATGTTTGGTTGACAAGAAATTTTTAGGAAAAGTTAAAATTTTTATGTATTTATTTCTAGGTTTATCAGCACTTTTAATCCTTATTATAATCCTTTATGGGTTTATTAGGAAACAACTTAAAAAACTTTTTTTGTATCATTATTATTGCTACACAATCTTTCTTTTTATTTTTTCTTTTGATAAATTCAAAGTTTAATGGCAAGAAATTCTTGAAAAAAGTTAAGTTTTTTAGTCTAGGGTTTTTAGCACTTATAAACCCCAATTGAATCCATTACTTGTTTTTATACTTTTTTTTTTGACAATTCAATCGATCTTTGCAAATTAAAGAAAAAACAAAGGCAAAATTTTATATGTTTCAAATATACATATTTGATGAGTTTTATATGTTATTAGATATGTATATTCATAAGTTTTATATGTTTTTTAGCCTGCATATTCAATATTATATGTCCTTGAATATGCTTATCCAATGAATAAAAATTGATGTATAAAAAAAGATAAAAAAATAATTTGTCACAAGTTAAATAATTTTGTAGGAAATATTTTTATAATAAAAAAGATGCATTAAATAATTTTTAAACTGTAAATAAAAGCTCTTCAAAAATATTTTTTTAGGGGTGTACTTAAAAAGCACCTTCAATTAAACATATATATTTCCAAAAAAAAAAAAGACATGATGCCGGTAAGATTGGTAACCTAACCCGGAACCAACAGGTTTCGACCTAACTCAACTTCATATGATCGATTTTTTTTTTAAATCGAGTTTTAGGTCGGATTGGATCGAGTATTATTAAAGAAAAATTGGAGTTGGATCGAGTTCTAGTTTTAGGTAAACCCGACTCGATATTATATAAAAAATTATTTTTAAAATTTTTATTTATATATTTATATTTAAAAAATAATATTTTATATTTTAAAAAATAATATTTTATTAATTTCGAATCGGATACAATTTATATAATATCGAATTTGGATCGAGTTCAACTATAAAAAAATAAAAATTTTTTTGAATCGGATACAAATTTAAATTTTATAATTATTAAATCGGATCCAATTTAAAACTAATAAAATTCCGATAATCCGTTCTCAACCTTACATGCGAGTCTGCGGGGTGTCTCTGTCAAGAGAAGTCCATAGGAGTGGAGACTGAGTTACGCGCGTTGTCAACGTCGTTTATTTTTTAATTATTGATGATTTGGTTAATTGATGGTTGGGTTGGCGTAGGAAGAGGAGCAAACAAAACAAAAGAAAGAAAAAAAAAAAAAAGAAATGAAGGGAAGGAAAATGGCAAGGTCGCAAGACAGACTCCCCGCTTTTGCAATGTTTTTCGAAGAAACTGCAACTGGGCCAGTCGCATACTTCCAAGTTGGAAGACCAAAGACCAAAGACCAAACAAACACGTTTCTACTCTTATGAATTTCTTTCTTCCACATTACACTTTACTTTTCAAAGTCTTTCTTTCTTCTCTATCTCTCTCATCAGCTAGCGCTTTGAGTCTCTGCTTCTCTTAGATACACAACTCAGCTCCCTTCATGTTTTATCAATTCCATTATTTCGATCTCACTCACTACCACGCAATTCAGCTTTAACCAGGTTTCTTTCTCTCTCACTCTCAGATTTGGACTTGTTTTCTTCTTTTATTTCTTGTTCTTGTTGATTAGTGTATTTAGTTGTTGTATGTAGAAAAGAAAGCGTCATTGCAATAAAAGGTATAGAATAGAAAAATGCTAAGCTAAGCCACTGTTAGTCTCATGCATTGTGAAACATAACTCATTATGCCTTTGTGTGCCTAAGTAATCAAAGTAGTTGTGTGGTTTTCATCCGTTTCACTTTGAAAATGGTTTATCAAAAAATGATATGATATAAGCCGTTGCTTGAGCAGCTTGGATGAACTTATCACTGACCCTATTCTTTCATATAATCTTTTACTTGGAACTATTGAAAATACTTATGATTAAAATTAAGTTTACTAATTCATTCTTCAACCCCAAATTGTCCCCCACTTTCTTTAAAATAACTGTTTTTAACCTACCAAGTCCTCAAAATGATTAGGATTTGATATTACTGTACATGCCAATCAAAATTTGAACTTTTGCCTAAAACAAGTGCAAAAAACCCTTTGAAAATATACATAATCAACTACCAAGTGTTGATATTTATTATCAAGTCCATCTTTGGTTCATAGTGTAGAATGAAGATCATAAGGTCAAATGCAGAATTGAAAGCTGAAATGCAGAATTGAAAGCTGATAGTTGTCTTCTAGCATAACATTCAGGTGTCAATACTTTTATACTTCAATTCCATTAAGTTTTAGATTTAAATGTATTTCCTCATTCTTAAGTGGTGTTATAAATTAATTTCATCCCTTTTTACACACACATGCACACAAAAAGAAAAAAGAACAAGCAACTTGAAATGTATCTAAAACAGGGTCTTTAGTCCTTTCCATATCTATAACTGACCTTCGCACATCCTTTTTGTATCCAAAATAAGATAAGTATTCTATTTTTCAGCATATACAATATTGTTAGATATGTACCTTGCTATTCCCAAGGATATTAATATCCCATATGGCTTGATATTGATACTAATCCGACTGTCTGATGCTTGCATCTTACTCTCTCATAGATTCTAGTGTTGGATGCAATGGATTTGAATTCATAACAACTGCCAGCTAAAGAAAGCCTCAAAAGTGTAGGCTTATATAGTATGTGAGGTAGATTAATTTTTAGAGTTGGGTTGAACCACAGAACAAAACTTGCTCAAAAACATTGAGCATGTACTTGAATACAATTTTTTTATGCTTAAAATAGGGAATGGTAATAACGACACAAATGAAAAGAGCAAAGGGTATGAATGGTGGACTTGAGATTTATACAGGTTTGGTCTAGCCACATGATGCCTGCATCATTTGTCCAAGAGTCCATCTTTTTGGGAGTTTCTTCACTTGCTTTCTTTTGAGCTTACGAGGCTAGCATAATGTGCTAGTCATCTTAATAAAATTTACTTAATCTCTCCACCCTATATAAGTTTTGCTAACACCTAAGAATTTCAATCTCTAATATAAAGACCTTTCTTGGAGGAGTTTAAATAATTACTAGCTAACCTCAAAAAAGATTGGACATATAGTATAATGTTCAGAACTTACAAAATGATATGCAAATCTGTGCCCTACAGGTTTTTCAATTTGATGATGAATATCTTGAAGATAGCTCCATGAGAAATTCAATTTTGAATCCTCCTTTTGTGATTGGCCAAAAAAAAAAAAAAGCCTCCTTCTGTAGCTGAGAAGATAAAAATAAATGGTTCTAAATTCTTAGGATATGTTGTCATTTTTTTTTTTAATGTTTTCAGATGGTAAAATTTTCAACTTTATGACCCAAAGATGCCTTTTTGCTTCTCAACAGGTATCTTTCTTAGAGGGAAATGAGTTCATTACACATGGTCCTTCAAGCAAACCAAGAGCTTTCGTCCCTTTTCTGAAACTTGAATGTTCCAGATGATTCCATGATATTTTGATCTCTACAGGCATCTTTTTCTTAGCACAGGTATTGGAGCGGTAGTTCATAATTTCAGTTCAGCTTCTTTCATTGACAGGTGCCTTTAAGTTTTCTGTTCTTACCAGTTGGGACCTCTTGAAGCTAACAGAGGGTTTTCAAACTTTTAACGAAGGCCTTTCTTATTTTACCATAGGCACCTAAGATTTAAGGTGACTGCTCTTCTCCGGTGTATTTATTGGCAATTGTGAGATCAAACAAGATAAATCTCGTACATATAATACTATCACCTTTATAAATGTAGAGGCAGCATCCCTATTGGTGTAGTACCCTATACAGAATGTTCATTCTGAAAATTGAATTTTGAAATAATTATCTTTGGCTTTTTAATTAGAATCTCCTTCCTGTTGGAGCAGGTAACCTACTTTTATGACCTAGTGTATGCATACTGGAAAATGCGTATTGAGAAAAGTTTGTTGTTATTGATATGTCCTTGATGTGTAAATAATAAGTTAAAATTATCTACATCTACAAAGATGATAGTGGGAAGTTGGAGACTAGTTTTACACTCTACATTTAGTTATTTGACGATTCTTCCATTTCCTATGATTGGTGATTATTAGCACATCTGGCTATATTTCAAAGATGAATAGTCTGGTTCAAATCTATTCAGAGATTGTAGTTTGTTGGGCTTGTTTCTAAATCCTGGAAGGCTATGTAAGGAGATAAAGAGTCTCTCCCAGTTTGATGTAAGAGAGAAAAAATCTTCCTCATGTGTAATAATGTAAAAGCAGTGATTGCTATGAGTCATTGTCAAATTGATGGTTTTAGGTCATAAGCCTATCTTTGTCAAATCTAAGGAGGAAAAAAGGGGGAGAAAAGGATGAAAGTAGTCATTTTTGTGTAAAAACAAATATAGGTTGCACCATAATAGAGAGGGTATGGGGGCAAGGTACTGATGTCTATTTAGTGTAAGAAGAAACTCTAACCTTCTGATGACAGATATTTCAGGGGAGATTTAGTTGGGTTGATGAACAGAACAGTTAACAGAAATTATAACAAACTTATTGCCATCACTATTACCCCGCTGTAATTTTGACCTGCCTTTATTATACTCTTTAATAACTAATCATCTGGATGATGTCTCTTTATAAATAAAATCAAAGTGGTGCAGTCCAATCATATGAACACTTCTTTATTTAAATCTAGAAGACTAGGAACTGAGATATTGTCCATTATGCTCTTGAAGTTTATCTTGGAATGCTGGACTTAATCTTTTGTTTACCTCCCCCCACTGTCTTTTTTTTTATCCAAACTAAATATGTAGTAGCAAGCATGTGCAATTATCTAAGCTGACTTTTTTTATTTCCTTTGTAGATCTAATATATGATAAATGGCATTTTATGATAAAGATGAGGTTCCTATGCTGTCAGATATCCATCCTCAATCATCAGAAAATAATAAGGATTCTCGATTTCAGACATTTTTCTCCAGGACTCAGAGTGCATCAATTTCTATCCCAATGCACTCCATAGAATCCTATGAAAATACTAATCTTGTAGGGCATACTGGTCCCTTGAGGAATGAAAGAAAAACACCATTTATACAGATGAGCGGGCCGCTATATATAAGCCGTAAGCCTGAAAATTCTTTTTATCTAAATCAAAATGCAGCAGGCCGTAAAATGGTGGAATCTAAGGCAGAAAAATTTCCTTCTTTTAATGGCATGGATGAAAAAGATTGGTCAGATAACAACTATGTTGGCAAAAATGAACATTTACTGAGGTCTGGGCAACTAGGAATGTGCAATGATCCTTATTGCACTACTTGCCCAACATATTACAATTTCAAAGCAGAACAACAGAAAAACTCAAAAGCTTCAGGTATCTTTGATGCCAAGGTATTTTTCTACACTCAAAACTAGTGTTGTTGGTTACAATTAACTTTCACAGACGGTTGTCAATTTATTCCTTGTTAAATTGTCTTATATGCTTTGGATTGCATAGCTTCATTCATGAGAGCAATCTTGTTGCTAAGTCTTCTGGTCTGTTTTATGATGTTTAGGTGACTTGACTAGGATTTCAGCCGTTAGTAGCTAATCTGCCTATGTCTGCACACCTACGGAACTCATAATATGAAGTTTTTACAAGTGAATATGATTAATGTTGCTCTCAAGTATGCTATAATTGCTCTCAAGTATGCTATAATTACAAGTGAAAACCCCCTTGGTTTTTTTTTTGATTGTATGAAAATCTTGTTTGAAACTGAGGTTATCTTCACATACACTTCTCTAGTTATTGTATAATATATGGTCTCTGGTGCTGCAGTTGTTAGATTGGTATTTCCATACTTTTTTTTTATCACATTTTACTTTATTTCACCTAGAGAAAAATACAATCACCAGTCAAGAAGTGTGCATGTGAAGTAGCTTAAAATAGGATATCTACTCCATTAATATCATTTGTTGTCTACTCCAAACTTGCATCTAGATTTTAGTCTCTTCCAATGTTTTAGAAGTGTTATTATATCCGTTAAATTTGTTGCACATCCTTTAGTTTTAAGTACTCCATTTCCTTTTCCCTTTCCATGTTTAATGTATATTTATGAGTAGTTGCTTTTTGTAGATCCTATCCTGCCTCCATTATCCCTGATGAAAAAATAATCTATGATTACGCTACAAAACCGTATTTTTGCTTTTATACTGATGACAAATTTGATTCTTGATTTTTAGTGAAGGTTTACTTGTTTGGTCATTGTGCACTAATTAGACAATGCAGCTATACATTCAATTGCACCCTCTAAAATTAGTTCACTTGAGTGCTCTAGTAATTTTGTTACTAATTCATTTTTAAAAGTACACAACCTCATGGTGATAAGAGAGCTGGGAATGCCACAACTAATTACTTTATTACAGTTAGTGGGCACTGTTTTCGGCTTAGGATTCTTTAATGATGATTGATAACGAGGTTACTATGACTATTTATAATCATAAAATAGTATGCATAATGTTGCTTAGAAAAGGTTGCATCACACCCATCAAGGAAGTACGGACTTGGATATGCAAGACGAGTACGATACAACATGAACACGGTGACATGGTAATTTCTAAAAATGTAATTTCTAAAAATTGAGGACATGGGCAAGATGTGACAATAAAAATATTTTTATATATTTTTTATATCTATAATTTTTATATGAATATAAATTAAATACAATAAAAAAGTAATTAACAGTGTGTAAAAAGTAAAATAAAATAAAATTATAAACATAATTAGAATTGTGTAGAAAAAATTAATAAACACAAATTTAATTTTATTAATTTAATTTTTAATGCTAATAGTTTATAAAATTCTAAATTTATTAAGTAATTTAATTCTTTTTCCTTTCTTGTGAGAGGATGGAGAGGGTAGAGAGAGAAGGATGAAATGAAAAAAAAAATGGATCATTTATAATTGCACCTAAATGGTCCATTTGGGAGCGAAAAAGGGAAAAAAAGAAAAAAGAAGAGTAGGTGGGAAGGAGATAAAAAAGAAAATAAAAAAGAAGAGTAAGAGGGAAGGTCCGCCTTGTTTGTGGTTTATAGACACCAAATGATTATGTTGAGAATACTTTCATCCAACTTGCTTAAAACAAGAAGGGAAAAAGAGCAAGAGACCAAGAGAAACAAAAAACTTATGTGCTATGTAAATGATTGATGCATGCTAGGCACAGTTTTTCTTATTTATGTTAATATTTTTAAGAATTATCAAATTTTTTGATGAAGAATTATCAATATTTGTTTCATTAAAAATGTATCAATGTTTTGAGTGAATCTATTAGACAAGACAATTCCTTCATCCACATAGCATTTTGTAAACTTACTACGTTACATAATGTAGCTACTTTGATTGTATTTTTGTTTTAATTAGGTTGTATCATAACCACTAAACTTATGATATTAAACGAAAAAAAATAGTTAATAGAACTACATAAACTCAATAGTTGGGTTCTCAAATAATTTTTGTGATATATGGAGATCTATTAGGTCTTGGGCTACAACTTAGGGCTACTCCTATTCCATTGCATAAACCTCACTCATCACATCTTGGAATTCTAACTCGAGATCTTCAAGTTGTAATTTCAAGTTCTAACTTACGAGGTGTCCCTTTATAGATAAATAACTAAAAATTTGTAGATATTGAATGGAAAGGATATACCAAAAACCACTGATGAAAAGAATTGATAGTCATCACATAGGTTTTTGTTTGTTGGTAGGGTAGGTGGAAGTGGAAGTTCGAGTGAAGATCTTAGGTTTGGATCTTGCATTAACATCTCTTACACTACAAAGTTTACATGTAGACTATGATAAAGTGAAGGTTATAAAATATGCTAATAGTTTTCCCATTACTGTCATTTCAAGGTCGAAGTTTGGATTTAATCTTTCTACTATTTCAATTCAGTAGTTTTAGTCCCCTTACCTCAATTTTAATGAATTTAATCCTTTCAATTTTATTAAATTGATTTAATGTTAAATGATATTGGCACATTTTGCTATTAATTTGAATGATGTGACATTTTGATGATGACATGACATGTTGAATTGGATTAACTTTTTCACCGCATGGCACATATCAGTTGAAAACAATAATAACTTATTTTAATTAAATAATAGTTAACATTTTTTAGATTATAACATAAACAATCTATATTTTTTTTATTAAAAATAAGGTTTTTTGTGCTAATGTGTGCCATGTGGCAAGAAAAAATTAAGTTGTCATGCTACATCATCAACAAAAAGGTCGGTAGATCAGATGATCAAAATTAACAATAGAACATTATTGATTGTCCTTAAATTAAATTTTAATAAAAATTTAAGGATTAATTCATTAAAATTGAAGTATAGGGACTAAAAAATTTATTGAATTGAAATAGTAGAAGGACTAAATTCATACTACAACCTTTCTTTAAAATATTCAATTGTAATGGTCCTTTCTTTTTCAATGTGAAAGTATCATTTACGAAGAATAAGAAATCATATAAGCTGTAATACATGATTTTGTAGTGGTCTAAGCACAGATGTTGATAAAAGATTTTTGACTTAAAGGGGCATCAAATTTGGTATATTCCTAAATTGTCCTATTTAATTTTTAAATGTTATTAAATTAAATGAAATTTTAACAAATTTGAATTTTGATTGGTTATGGACTTATAATTCTATCCATTTTTTTCCTTGGTAAAGAATTATAAGATAGATTTATTTTGACTTCTAATTTCTTTTTTGTTTGGAAAGGTCCAATTTAAAGATATTTTTGAACTGTGTTGTAAAATTTTTGTATTATTAATGTAGTAATAATCTTATTAATATTGAAATTTAAGTAGTTATGAACTCCTAATACCTTTTGATTTCTTGCTTGGTTGTGAGTCACTAAGAGAAATTGCTCTTACAACTTTTATTTTTCTTAAGAATAGCCACTTTATTTTAAGCAACTTTTAATTTTCTTAGATAAAATGAAATGAACCAAATTAAATTTTTTCTTGAAATGCTCATAAAGAAATTTATTTAGCAAATCTATTATCATAAGAGAGTTATGAAAATGCAAGATACCCAAACATGAACCATTCAATTATTAGTTCACAAATACTAGCATAATCATTTAGCCTTATTTATGTTTGCAGTTCCATAATGCTCTCTATGGGGATGCCAAAGGATGGGCTAGGAGATTGATGTCTTTTTTACACACTTTTGTTCCTGGAGTTATGAATCCTCATGCTAAAGTTGTCCAACAATGGAACAAATTTTTTGCCATTTCATGCTTGATGGCAGTTTTTATCGATCCATTGTTTTTCTTCTTGTTGTCTGTGCAGAAGGTCAGTTCCATTTGTTTGCTTGTCATTGCTTTTTTTTTTTTTTAATTATTTTGATTGCATAGATTTTAAAAACATTTCTTATATAGTTGGCCTCATTATCATAAGACTAGTGATTGGATATTGTCTATTTTAGCAATATGGGTTTGCTTGCATTATTTGCTTTGGTTTAGCATGTAGATTCTATGCGATAATGAAAATTTTTATATTTCAGCTTTAAGCATGGCATAAATTCTTAGATGGTGGTTGCCTATTTAGACCTTTTACTTTTATTTACTTCTTTCCCCTGTTTCTTTAGAGGTAGGGTGCTTGCTTTTGTTAAACACAAGTGATATAAAATGTTCTTAAAGAGCAAATGAAATGCTTGGGTGAAATAGGAATAAGATAGTTGATGGATATTTTCAACAAAATTAGCCGTTCTTAAAAGATGTCAGAAGAATGGAAGAAAGGTACTCTAGTGCCTTTATACAAGATGAAATGTGATATACAAAATTGTTGATGAATAAAGATATGAGTCATACTATGAAACTTTTGGAGAAAGTAACTGAATGTAGGTTGCGATGTGAGGTCACTATTTTCGAAAACCAATTTGGGTTTATGCCAAGATAACAACTTGCATTGTTATATGAGACTGAGTGTCGGGTAGTTAAGAAACAACATAAGAAAATGGGTGTAGCTAAGATAGTGATGCTTAGATGGATGTGTGGTTAAACTAAACGAGACAAAATTAGCAATGATGAAATTTGAGGAAAATTAGGGGAGGCCAAATTTAGGAAAAGATGAGAGGACTATTTGAGATGGTTTAGACATGTGAAATGTAGGTGTATCTATGCACCCTTTAGGAGAAATGAGCTCTTGAATTTAGGAGAAACTAAAACTTCTAAAGGTAGACCACGAAAGATGTGGATGCAAATAATAAGAAATGATATGAGGGTTAATGAAGTAGATGAAAATGTTGTTTTTGATAGAAATGAGTAGCGCAAGAAAACTTAAAACTATGACCTAACATGGTTCTTTTTTTTGGCGTTTCATACAACCAATTCTAGAGTTATGGGATATAAGGCTTAGTTTGTTGTTGTTATTTATTTTATCAGCTATATTTGTCCATAAGAATTCCTTTTAAACTTTTTAATTGGTGAATGAGTTTTGCTTTGGGAGCTTAATTATTGTGCTAAGTGTAGGTCATGTGAGTTGAATGAAGTACAAATATCGCTAATCGTACATGAAGAGAGATTGTGGGTGGTACAAATTAAGGCAATAACAATTCAAGATAAAAATAGTTCCTAGATAAAGAAATTAGAGAGAGAAACTGTGAGGGCTAATGAATGCTACTAATGAGTTACTTAATTTTCATGCAAAGGGGTAGCTTTTCCCAATAGGGGATGTCTTTCACATGCCTTTAACTATTGAAATAGAAAATTTTATTGGACTAAGGCATGGTATTAGAGATACATTATAGTGTAGTTTGAAATTTGGCTCAAGAATTTGCATATCTAAGATTGTGGTGTGAAAGTGCTTTTCTTTTTTCTTTGCCAACAATTGATTGTTTGGTAAGATAGTAAGTGAAGTCTTGTGGTGAAATAAAATATCTAGAAAGGAGTTAGCGCTCAAATTACCTGGGGGTCTATTAATCTTTTCAATCCTCAAATGCAACTTTCAAGTTAAAATGTAGCAAATACTTGCTTCGCTTTCTGGTTTTGGTTGAGGTCTGTTAGAAATTGTACTTCGAGGCAAAAATGGATGTGTTTGGCATGTTTTTTGGTCTCGAGAAACAAGTGGGGGTCCCAATTCAATACTAAATGGGGCCTAATAATGTTGTGAAATATTTTATTAGAAGAAGAGATGGGTAGCATGGCCCATGATCTCATATACTTGAGGGCATTACTTAAGTTGACAAGTTTGAGGCACTGATCTTATGCAATGAAAAGATGTAAAACATACTGATTTGAAGGGAAAAAAATATTGATGTGGAAAATATTTTCTTTATTGTTAGCATACCCTTCATCTCAAAACACGAGTAAAGGAAAACAAATCCATTTTTTGCAAAAGCTCTATGTGAGGAAGTAATTTGGTAGGCTGTTGTTAAGGCATTTGAGGCAGTGAACTTCAGATTTCTAGCAAGTATAGGTAAAAATCTTTGGGTTCAGATAATTCGAATTTAGGTTATTTTGGATTCAAATTTTTGACTTTTAAAATCAAATTGAATTGGATTTGGATGGATTATTTAGATCAGGCTTTTATCAATTGTAGTTGAGTTGTTCAAAGTCACATTTTTGTCAACTTGTAAAATACCTCTAATTTTGATTCTTAAAGCCATAAAAATAAAATTTTAAAAAAATAATTACATTATATAAAAAGAAATTAAAAGTGAGTTAAAACTCATTTACTGATTTAGAATTATTTTATATTAAAATTAACAATTTTTTCAAGGAAAAAAATTATTAATATTTTGGATTGATTGATATTTAATTTTCATTTTTGTTGCATTGATTATTCTAATGATTCACCATGATATTGTTAGAACTTATGACTTACAAAATTAACATTAACTCCAAAAGTTCAATGTGGTGTTAATTAATTTCTTGAAATTGAAACTTTATTCTAAAGCAAAAAATGAAAAAGATAAAAAATTTTGGATATAAATAATATTTAATTCTATCTTTCGCTACTTTTAAGAGTTATAAATTTTTTAATTGACATGAAGAATGATTCTAATCTAGTGCTCTTCTGATTGCATTTTAATTCATTATCTTTGATATCTATCTAATATCTACTCAAGGTGAATTAAAGTAAAATGTTTAAAAGTAGTTGACACAATTAACTTATTGAATTTTGTCAATTATTTTTTTAGATTATGAATTACTTTTTTGTTTTTAAAGTTATTGTTATCTATTCTAATTATTTATTTTATTATTTTGTGAGAATAAAAAAAAAAAGAAACAAACTTTTATGTACTTATTTATTTATATTTTATTTATATTAATGGAGGGCTTGGGAGTTTATTGATTAAAACGTGGCAGCTCAGTTGGTTGCCATTTTTCAATACCACAAGACCTTTGTTTTTTTTTATTTTTTTACTATTTTTTGAAAATAAAAGAAAAGGATATTCAAAAAGAAAAAAATGAAAATGAAAGAAAATATAAGGAGAATACGAACATTTTTTTTTCATTTTCTTCTCACTTTTTAAATAAATACTTTCATGAAAAAATTTACAAACAAACAAAAAGGAAAAACTTAACCTACTATTTTGACATTTGCTTTCTTTTTATTTTTCCTGTATAAAACAAAGAAAATAATCCTATTTTTTAAAATCAATTTAATTATTATAATTATAATAATATAAGTTTAAATAATAGTAATAAATATTCAAAATTAGGGAAAAAAGGAAAAAAATTAAAGAATAAAAATGCACGAGAAATCATTGCAAAAAGAAAAAAAAAGCTAATTAGGAAAATTATGAAGAAAAAGCATTATTGTGGATTATAATAATAAATTTTATAAATTTAAATACTCCTAAATATAAATTTTTCTATCATTATGCGAAACACAATACACAAATTGATATCATGGATTTATTTTCTTGCTTTTGTTATAATATTTTTTAAGAGATATTTTAAAACCATTCAAATAAAGTTTAAAATACTCAAATAATATTATTATTGAACTAAAAAATTTTATTATTTTATTTGCTTTATAAACAATTAAATTTATGATTTATTTATAAATTGTAATCAATAATGTAATCAATAATGTAATCATATTAATGATATTTAAGCAAAAAATGTTACTTAATATAGAAATGTTAACATTAATATGTTTTTTATTAAAATTAATTGAAATATGCTTTAATACACAAGTTATGTGTTAATTTATTGAGAGATGATTTAAAATCTTATTTATAATAATTATTTATTTTTCAAATGCATTGTCCCAACTAACAAATTTAATTATATTGAGATTAATGTGTATTAAAATTCACAATTAAAAAACATTTCTTTAAAAAATACTGAAAGATTTTGCAAATTTCAATTTAAAAGAACCCATAGCATAGTGTGGGTTCATTTCTAATGATGTATAATAGTAGAAAATGAATTTAATTATAATAACAAAGAATTTGTTTGTAACTCTTTTTTACTTGTGATTAAGAAGGCTAATATTCAAAGTTTATATAAAAATATTGAAGAAAAAATATTTTTAAAGATAATTTAATGTTATCAAATATTAGTTAAACTAATATTTTGTGTTATATTTATTATTTAGTTATAGTAATAATTTAAAATATAAAATTATAATCAATTTAAGTTTGGGTCATTTCTTGTCCATGTTATTTCAATTATGGGTAGTTTTAGGTCTATGGGTTTAGATTGTTGACTTTTTCTTATCAAATAAGTTTGAGCAAGTTTTTTGGGTTTGGGTTAATTTTGCCAATTGAATATTTATATTATTAATAAAATATTATATCATATTCGAAAGCATATTATATAAAGCTTTATACATTGGAAAGCATATTGGTTTGTTGGTTGTTGGTTTGATTTGTTGAGTTGTTTCTTGTTAAGTTATTTATTATAATTGTAATTTCTACTAATACATGTAATTTCATAAAAAAAAAATTCCTTATTTACATTGGGCGCATTTTATGTGAAGATTTAAACTAATAGTTTAAACAAATTGGGCCTTCTCTTGAAATTAACCTTTCATTACCTCCTCTTGATCACAATCAGGATTCTTTTAATTTAAATCTCAACTATTTTCTCTTTTTCTCCCAAATTATTTCAAATATTACTATCCATAGCTAATTAATTACTTATTGGCAAATTATATTTTCAATCTTTTCTCCTTTTTTAAAAATAGTAGTTTACATTTTGTACTTGTGTAGTTGACTTTCCTATTTCTACAAATGGTGCTGCTTCTTAAGTATTATGCTGTAAGGTCTTCTGATTTGGATGCAGGACAACAAGTGCATGGTCATTAATTGGCCTGCAACTAAAGCGTTTGTAGTCTTAAGGAGCATGACTGATTGTATTTACATTCTTAACATGCTCCTTCAGGTAGACAGCTTCTTCACCTCCTTCAATCATGTTATCTTCATTTTTGGCATCACTATCTCTCAATCTTGCAGTTTAAATATTATTGGATGGATAAACGGACCATTTCATCTCATTTAAATAATATTAGATTATACAATGTTGCAAAAACAGGATAACTGATGAGATGAAAAATGGCAATCAGAACCTATTGATACCATATGATTAAAAAAAGAACTCATTCAGAGCAAAAATAAGTGGATAACAACTGTGAAAATGCCTTATGTAAAATGGTTCTGTGACACCTAGCTGGAATGTGTGTTACGCATAATTCAATTTTAAAGAAATTTTAAAATCACTTTAAGGCTTCATTTCCTTGTTGCTTTTGCTGTTTGCCTTCTGCATTCTATTCATTTTTAACCTTTTGCCTTTTGCTTTCTATTTTTTTTTTTTGCAAAAAAAAAAAAAAAAGAAAATACTAAATGGAGCCTAAAAGTTTTGATTTGATTTTCTCTTTATCTTGTTTAGGCTTCTTTTTCTTACCCATCAAGCTCGTTTTAGCCTAAAAAAACTAAATGAACCAAACTAAACTAAATTTCTTTTGTGCAGAAATAAAATTGAATTTAATAAAATTGAAGCCAAAGTTACTATTTCTAGGTTTACAAATTCTTTCTATAAAATGATACAACCCTAAGACGCATGTTAATGTTTCCATAAATAAGCCTCACTTACAGCTCTAGTTGACACGAATATTTACAAATTATTACAAGATAATGCACATATATTTCCGGCAATCCATTACTTCGAGATGATTCAAATTTGAAACATTTGAAATTTGCCCAACTTAGATGTTCATATCACTAGCTGTTAAGTTGACATTCATTTTAAGAGGACTATTGATAGTTTTGTTATCATCCAAACAACTTTGGAAAAAGATTCTAAGAATATTTTGTCTGAGACAACTTATCCCTACTGGGAAGAATCCACTTCTATACTCGAAAATTATTGCAACAAATCAATATCACTCATCTCAAAGTTTTTACCAAGATAATTCTTACTATAGTAAATACCAAAAATACTCCTGTTAGTGTCATAACACCAACATAGAGAAGTAAGAAAAATAAGAGCTTTGCATGAAAAGTAAGTTTGGTATCACAGTACCCTATTTCTCAAACCATGCATATGGTGCATGGTTAAAATTGTCTCATTGAAGCTACAAATTTTATTAATTTTGAAAGGCAACTATATATTTGATTATAAGAACCTTTGGGTAAATCTCTTTTTTTTTGCAACTTTGACCAATATTCATTTTGATTTTTCCCCTGCAGTTCCGGTTGGCTTATATAGCTCCTGAGTCTAGAGTAGTTGGTGCTGGTGAGTTAGTTGACCATCCAAAGAAAATTGCTGTCAATTACCTTAGCGGATACTTTTTTCTTGACTTGTTTGTGGTACTCCCATTTCCTCAAGTAAGTTATTCTGGTTTTCCTGTACAGCAACTTCATTTTTCTTGCACTCCACTTGTGATAATTGTATTGTATTTATTGGCTTTGTTTTAGACGTCTTTGTTTTGCTTGACAAATCTTTGACCTTGACTTTATTTTGTAGATATTTATGAATTTTTCCCATGTTCATGTTCAGCCAAATTCACTTACCAAGTTATAATGGTATACTTGGCAAATTTTTTCTTAAAGGAATTTTCTTTTATCTTGAGTTTAAACATCAGTAGCAGAAATATTTGTTTGTTGGTTCATTTTCTGCTTGGGCTCTTTATTAACAAAAAACTGCATGCCATCTACAATTAAAATCTTTAGTTTAGCAAAGTTTATTATAAAATGACTATATTCACTTGTTGCTCCATTTGAGCATTCACCTTGTTGTGCATTCTTCATACTGTTTTATTTTATCTGCTGTTGTCATGAATTGTTTCCTTTATTTAATTCCAGATCATGATATCATTTGTCCTACCAAAATATTTGGGATCAGAAGGAGCAAATTATGCAAAAAGTATTTTATGTACAGCAATTCTTATTCAGTACCTTCCCAGATTGTATAGGTTTCTACCTTTCCTTGCTGGTCAGTCTCCAAGAGGCTTTATATTTGAGTCAGCATGGGAAAATTTTGTCATAAACCTTCTCACTTTTATGTTGTCTGGCCATGTTGTTGGATCATGCTGGTACCTCTTTGGATTACAGGTGGGCAACTGTTATTTTAACATTTAAAAACGTTTAATGATCTCTTTTATCCTTTTAGGAATTTTCTTGAAGTGCTCTTGTTAATTTCTGATATGGTTGCATTATGATGCACTTATTAGTTGGTAAGGAATACTCTCCTTGGTTTCATAGCATACTCTTCAACACTCCCCCTCAATCTAGTTTGTATAGGTTGCATTTTGTTCATAGGATCATGGATAGGAAAAGATGTGACAAAATTGATTAGCAAATTATCTTTATTTTATCTTATTTTGGTGGAAGCATAACAAAGTTATGTTATCTTATCTTACATAATCCTAGCAAAGTAGGATTATCTCTTCCTCTCCCTCTCCCTAGGATTAAAACTGTATGTAATAATTAGTCTAACTAACTTTTAGATCTTTTTGATAAAAAAAAATGGGGACAAGGACAAATGTCGCATGAAATAAGAAGATACCTTATTCGATACTGTCCTATGCACCAAATGAGCTTATATGCAATAAACTCATAATTTGTTACAATAAAAGTCATTCTTGTACTCTCCTGAAAGTTAGGTAAACAAGTAGTCTGAAATCTGAATAGCTGAAAATGGTAACTTAAAAGTCACTTTGAAAGGCATCTTGGGAAGTATGAAAAAGAACATTCAAATGAGTCCCAACAAATGCAAGTATTCAGCTTTAAACTCAAAGTTTTAGCATCTAAGAATATCATAATTACCTCTCTTTCGTTTTTGTGTTCACTTACATCGACAGCGATTGGCATAATAGCATGCAACTGTTCATGATTTTTTTCAACTTGAAGAAAAAATTTCTTAACAGTTCTCTCCCCCTTGCAACTAAATTAATCTAAAGTAAAGCATTCATGAGTGTCAAATTACCACAAGAAAGTGGTTTAACATAAACCAGATGTTCTTTGATGTGTTTACATTAGTGCTCATATTTGTAATATGGTTACTTCCAGTTCCACAATATGCTAAGCATTTGAGTGTCTACTTGTATATCTATTTCACTCATGTATCTGAAGCCTGCAAGAAAATTTTTGTCCTTGTAGATTTGAAATATCTGGAAGGTAATACAATAGCTGCATACCTCTTTTACTTTTGGAAAGTTTTTATTTATATTATTAAACTAAATAACTTGGAGTAGCACATTCATCAGCATTATCTAGATGTTATATTATAAAGTGTGCATTGAGGTTTGCTTGCTTGATTTTACTGAGTAATTGACAGAAATTGAAATCCCTTTTGTTAATAAATGCATGAAAGATGATTGTGATTCATTTATTTCTTATTTGTCTCCCTTCTGACTTTCTCTTTGCCAGAGGGTTAATCAATGTCTTCAAAATGCCTGCTCTAAGTCTTACATTAAAAAATGTATGGAGTTTATAGATTGTGGCTATGGGCATACTTCTAATCATTTTGAATCACCAAGTTGGAAGAACAATGCAAATGTTTCTGCCTGTTTTACAAAAGATGGATTTTCTTATGGAATATATGGACCAACAGTCAATCTAACAACAGAACGAAGTATTGTTACCAGATATGTATATTCATTGTTTTGGGGATTCCAGGTAATCCATTCAGTCTGTCATCATTTTTTCCATTTAATTAAGTTGTACTACTGTACTTCGTTTACATGTTGGGCATAGTTTAGCTGCAATGAGTTTAATTAAATAATAAGGTTGTTTGGTTGTTGCATTTTGCCTTTTCTATTTAGATAGATTTGCTTTCAGAAGCAAAAAGCAAAGAGTGGATTTAAATATAAAAGTAAGTAATATCTTTGAAGAACTTAAAATTAAACATTTTAACATATTCTAAAAGAAAAACACAATATTTTACTTTTGTACGAAATAATTGAGATTTGAATTATGTTATGTTTTATCCATTTGCTCATTTTTTTTTTATAATAAAAGATGATATATATATATATGTATATATATTGTTTAGTTTACTGTTTGCTTTTGCTTTTTATATCTAACACTATGTTTGGATTAAGGGGAGGGGAAGGAAAGGAAAGGAAAATAAAGGAAAGTAATGGAAACAGAAAAACCATTCTTTTTTTTTTTTTATTGGATAAACTTTTAATTTAAAGGAAAGAAAAGAGGTGGAAATCCAATAACCTGTGGTTTCCCTTGTGATACTCACTTTTTTAATACCTCAATTTGGAGGAAATGCTAAGAAAAGGAAAGTTGAAAAAATTTTATTTTTATGAAAAAACTATTATATCCATATTTTTATTATGACATTAGATTTGATTATATAACTGACACTTTTTACAAAGATAATTTCCTTTTAAAAGTATTTTATATAATATCATAATTTATAAATATTTTATGATTTTTCAAGTCTTAACAATAAAACAAGCCAAATTATTGTCAAAATAAATTAAAAGGTTGAATAAAACACAAAATTAAAAGTAAATCAATAATTAGCTAATACATCTTACTGTATTAATCATGTTCAATTTTGTTCAAAAAGATTTGTTTATACAAGTTAGGTTGTATAAAGATATATTTGTATATTATATGTTACTTTATAAAAAAAAAGGTTATAATTGAAAAAAAATATTGTTATGAATTATTTCCTTTCTTTTTCACTATTTATCCAAACAATGGTTGTTAAAATTCTTTTCGTTTCTTTTCGTTTATTAATTTTAACTATCTAAACAAGAAGTACATGTACTCTTTCCTTTCTTTTAAAAAACTTTATTTCCTTTCTTTTCCTTTATTAATATCTATTCAAACATAGTGTAAGTTTGAGGAAGCAAAAATCAAGTAATAAAAGCAACAATAAAGTGAAGCCCTAGAAAACTTGCGGCATAACCTAGTGATGATTTAGAGAATAAATGAAAGGCCATTTCCAAGGATTAATTTGATGGGTCATTAGGACATATATCCCCACATGTTTTTGCATATTAAATTATAATAGGTGCAGCACTAGAAAGTTGGTCTAAACTCTCATTTTTTATCATAGTGGTTGTTCTACTCATTCAGCACTCTCTTTTCTTTAGGTCGCCTTTGTCATATTAAGCCAACACTTTGTGAGGATCTCTTTTGTATGTCTCCTTGTGTGAGTGCTTGTAGAGTTCACCAATCGATCTTTTGTTGTCAAAAAAAGTGTAAAATGTTTCCAGGCTAAAGTTCCTCCTTGAAATATTATACATCATTAAAATGTATCATTGGTCTTGCTGGAAAACCATTGGTCAATTGGATGGTGAGTTTAACCTCAATGGAATGCTCTCGAAAAACAGTTGTTGGCCAATGTTATACTAACAAATTGCTAAGTAAATTTTGAAGCTACGATATTCTGCCTATGTTTCCCTGCATTCATAAAAGTAATTATCATGTTCAAATGATTTGTCAAAATTCTCTATTGTAAAGAGCACATGTTGTCTATTCATTTCTTGCATTCCATCTTATCTGCTAAACAATTCTATCTTTTGCATCCATTTTTATCTTTTTTTACCCTGCCCTAAAGATTCTTGTTACTTTTTAAATATAAAGCAGCTTTGTCATCAACTCATTTCGTTTTTTATTGATCATCATACACAGTTCCCACTTCACCCATCTTCTGTGCTTAATGCTATTAAATATACCATCTTCCCTTAAAGTAATCGACTGAAGGCAGTGAAATAGATAATTCATCTGTCTGTCATGTATGGAATTTTGTCTTTCTTCATTGATATATTTGAATTGTATACCTTGTATATTTGGTTAAATAATGTGAACGGTTCAATCAATTAACAATACCTTGCATTGACCCTTTTTTTTTTTTTGTAAATTTAATGTTATCAAGCAAATCAGTACTCTGGCTGGAAATCAAACTCCAAGCTATTTTATTTGGGAAGTTCTTTTTACCATGGCCATTGTTGGACTGGGCCTCTTGCTTTTTGCTCTTCTGATTGGAAATATGCAGAACTTTCTCCAGGCACTTGGACGGAGGTATGGCATTGCAAAAAGTTCTTCCAATTGAATTTTACGTTGCCAAAGAAAGCAGAATTGTTGCTAAAATTCTCATTAAGTTGCTTTGTAGTAAGCAATAAAAGGTATTGGCTTGTTAAAGTTCCACAAATCCTACTCTTAAAAGGACTCCAAAAGTGGAAACCATGAAAACAATTAAGGGAACGTGGAAACAAAGACCTTACCTCAAAATCTGAGAAAGAGAGAACATACCCTCAATACTTCAAGCAGAAGAAGAGAGACAAACTGGAAAAATAGCTTTATTCACCAAATAAAAAATTTATTCTTGCTAAGCAAGGTCCTAAACTTATTGAACATCAATAAAGACAACAGTTTCTCATATTCTTGTTATTTTTTAGTCTTGACTTATCTTGACATCCTTATTGTCTGCAACATCTACATGCCCTCTTTTGTTTTTTGTTTGTTTCTAACTTTTTGCTAATCATTCATCTAACTACTCGGATAGGCTTTTAATACTACAATAAGCAATGTAAGAACATGATGTTGAGACATCCTAATATTTAATGACGAAATCAACGATCTTCAATTCTGCAACAAGGAGTTTATATAAGTCTTCATCTTAACATTCTTGTTTTCTGGAATGTGTTAAAACTTGTTGTAAATGTTATCCTTGTCCCCTCCTCAATCTTGTCCATGCCCAATATTTATCGAATAAATGTTGCATTATTCATTGCTTTTCATTTTTTTTTTATTGATAGTTAGTGTAAACAAGGTGCTTATTAGTTTCTTTTATTAGGACTTGCATAAGCAATCTACCATATTGATGATAGATGCACATTAGGCATAGGCTTGACCTTTCAAAACAACTCATTAATCGATCAAATTTTACGTTTTTTCACCCATCAGACCATGTTATTACTAAGATGCTTGTTCTTTTGTAAGTGTAATTCTTCAATAGCTTATTGTCATCAATGCTGCCAATTAGCACAAAAAATTGTAATCGATGAAAAAGATTTCACCCCGAGTTTTTTACTTTCTCTCTTTTATCTCTATCTTCTTTCGCTCTTTCTCTTCACTAGCTTTTACTTCTCCATAAACTTGCATTCTATAAAATTTTAAATATACTATAACTTGTTAGGTGAACTACTTTGAATAAGGAACTTGTTTAGGTATACATAGAATATAAAAATTATAAAACAGGGGTCACATTTGATGGTAGGTGGCTTACCCTTTGTGATTTTAAAATGGAAAAACCCTCGAGGTGAAGATGCTAGTGGCCATTCATGGAGTTTGATTACACCAAGTCATACTTTTCAATGCATTCTGAGCAAACACCATAACAAGGACATTTTAAAAAAGAAAAGAAAGTGGTAGATAATTGTGCTTATTGATGCAAATGTATGGTGTCTAAGTTTTAAGGACTAAGAGAAGTTGTATCCTATTTAGGGGAGAAAAACCAAATTTTGAGCCCAACGGAACTATACCAATAGCGATAACTATATGCATGTTTTGTATTCCATGTATTTTGACTGCCTATTTTTGCAATGTTTGTAAGTGCATAGATTGATTCAAGTAATAAAGTGATAAGTATCAGAGTATTGTCTCCCACAAGGATTATAAATTGTAATTTGTTAGGTGGATTCAAGTACCAAAGTTGATAATCTAAGCTCTTGTATCTAAACAAATAGAAACTTAGGTTGAATTGCAAAAAGAATGATAGGAAACTTGAAATAGAGATTGTATAGGCCTAGATCTTACTTAACCGTCACTTGGTAAGTAGTAGGATTGTGGCTGAAACTAGATCTGAAGAAAATAAGAATTGAAATTTGGAAACAATAAGATTAAGAAAGGCTACAAGTTGTAGAAACATAAAACAAGATTGCATGGATCAAAACTTAAATAAAAGAAGTAGGATTGCTTGATTGAAAACCGAAAAGAATATGATGGAAAAGAATAATTGCTGAAACTATAAGAACTTGTAAACAATATTGCAAAACTGAAAAGAGTGTATGAAAGCTTTAAAGGAAACTAGAATTTGAATGAAAGAATACTTTGATTGAAGAAATTCATGAGAATTTTATTTATGAATTCTTAAGAAATTTTCTAGAGTGCAAGAGTATATATATAGCTAAAACATCAAGTATGGCAAATCCCATGATATCCTAGAGATAATAACAAATCACCTAAAAATCATGTAACAATAAGTGGAAACTACCAAATAGGAGTTTGATCAATGAACCAAATCTCTTTTATTTAGGAAACAACCAAAATACTAAATGAATGACACCTAATCAAATCTGGTTAGGAATCGGTTTTCCACACTCCCCCTTCAAGTTGGGTGGTAGATATTAATCATACCTAACTTGGACCTCAAATTCTCGAAATTGCCACGATAAAGAGCCTTGGTGAGGATGTCGATTGTTTGATGTTCTGTTGGAGTGTAAACCAGTTTGACTGTGCCTTCTTTAATCTTCTCTTTGATGAAGTGGCGATCAATATCTACATGTTTTGTTCGATCATAATGAACAGGGTTCTTGGCAATGTTAATAGCTACTTTATTATCACAAAACAGTTTTATTGAATGCCCAGCTGACTTCTTCAGTTCCTGTAGCATTCTCTCAAGCCAAATTCCTTCACAAATCCCGTGAGACATAGTCCTAAATTCAGCTTTAGCACTACTTCGAGCTACCACTGCTTGTTTGTTGCTCCTCCAAGTGACCAAGTTGCCCCATACATATGTACAATACCCTGTAGTTGACCTTCGATTTGTCACAGAACCGGCCCAATCTACATTTGAGAAAGTCTCCACATCTCTATTTGGTGTTTTTTTCTAAATTGCAACCCTTTTCTTGGATTTTTTTTCAAGTATTTAAGGATCCGATATATTGCTTCCATGTGTGTCTTTGTAGGATTGTTCATAAATCTGCTCACCATACTTACAGAGAAGCCAATGTCAGGTCTAGTGTGCACCAAATAAATTAATTTTCCCACAAGTTTTTGGTATCTGTTTTAGTCTACAAGAGGACTTCCATCTTTGGTTTCCATATTGACATTTGGGTCCATCGGAGTATCCATTGGTTTACACCTGAGCATCCCTGTCTCTTTGAGAAGATCAAGTACATATTTTCGTTGTGAAATAGAAATACCATTTCTTGGTTGAGCTACTTCCATGCCAAGAAAATATCGAAGCTGTCCCAAGTCCTTTATTTCAAACTCTTTAGTTTTATTAGAGTTTTCAATCCAACTATTTCCTTTTCATAATCTCTTAGGAGGACAATATCGTCAACATAAACAATCATAATAGCAATCTTGCTATTTGATGAATGTTTGACAAACATAGTATGGTCGGATTGGCATTGTAAGAATCCATTCTTTTTAACAGTCTTAGTCAAACGATCAAACCAGGCGCGAGGGGATTGTTTGAGGCTATATAAGGATTTTTGAAGCTTACACCTTTGCCGATGTTGTCCTGGTTGTCAAACCCTAGAGGAATCTTCATGTAGACCTCTTTTATTAGATCCCCATTCAGAAATACATTTTTGATATCGAGTTGGAGAAGAGGCTGATCTAGGTTTGCAGCAAGTGATAGTAATACATGGACAAAATTTAATTTTGCTATAGGAGCACACGTCTCCTCATAATCAATCCCATAAGATTGAGTGAACCCTTTAGCCATAAGACAAGCTTTGTATCTATTCACACTTCTGTCTATATTGTGTTTGATAGTTAAAATCCACTTACATCCCATTGGGCTCTTTCCTCTAGGAAAATTAGTAATTTTCCATGTGCCATTCTTTTCTAGTGCTTGCATTTCTTCCATTACCGCAACCTTCCACTTTGGTTGTTTGAGCGCTTCTTAGATGGTATTCGGTATATGAACATCAATTCATGATGTAACCAGTGCTTGGTAAGTAGGAAACAACCCTTCATAGGAAACAAAGTTACTAATAGGGTGTTGAATACATGATCTCGCACCTTTTTTTATAACAATGGGCTGATCAAGATCACTAGGAAAGTCATCAAAGATAGGTTCAGTAATTGTGTGACCTGTGTGAATTTCCTTGGATTTGGTTCAGAATCTTGGTTCTGTGTTGAAGATGTATTGGTCCCTATCTCTTTTGAGATTTCGGTGTCCTTGAGTATACAATCATTTCCTTAACTTTTGTCTCTTGCACGGTTTCAAGAGATTTTGGAGACTCAAGATGACTAGTTGACTTGGAAGAAGAAGAAGGATTATTTGAAATGGGAACTTGAATTGGTAGAGAAGTAGAGGAAGGATCAGATGATTGCTCAATCTCCCAAAGTTGATATGCCTTAGAACTCTTCCCCTCAATATCGGTTTTGGGATAGAATGGTTGATTCTTAAAGAAGGTGACATCCACAGAAGTGTAAAACTTTCTAATAGTTGGTGAATAACATCTGTAGCCTTTTTGGTTAGGTGAATAGCAAAGAAATATACACTTGAGTGATCTAGGGTCTAGTTTACTGTGTTGTTATTGGCGTATATGAACAAAGGTAGTACATCCAAACACTTTGATTGGTATGGAAGAAATGATTTGGACATGAGGGTAGGTTTTGAGAAGTGTTTGACAAAAGGTTTGAAATTTTGGTACTTGAGAAGGCATCCTATTGATAATAAATGCTGTTGTCAAGATTGCCTCTCCCCAGAAATGTTTCGGGACATGAGAGGCTAGCATAATAGATTTTGCAACTTCCAATAGGTGTCTGTTCTTTTGCTCTGCAACTTCGTTTTGTTGAGGAGTTTCAGTACATGAGCTTTAATGAATAATTCTTTGATCTAACAAGTAAGATCTAAGAACTGAGTGATAGTATTCTCGCCCATTTTTTGTTATGAACACCTGAATTTTTGCTTGAAATTGAGTTTGCACCATCTTGTTGAAATTTTGAAATATTGAACTAATGTTTAACTTGTCTTTCATGAGGAATAACCATGTAACTCTAGCGTGATCATCAATGAAGGTAACAAATCATTTAGAGCCTGTAATGTTGTTAACCCTCGAGGGTCCCCAAACATCACTATGGATCATAGAAAATGGATGAGTTGATTTGTATGGTTGACTTGTATATAAATTGCGAATGTGTTTGGAAAATTGACAAATTTCACATTGATAAGACTTGAAACCTTAATTGAATAAATCAGGGAATAATTTATTGAGGTATAAGAAATTTGGATGTTCTAAACGATAATGCCATAACATGATTGTATTTTCTTTGCTTTTATTGGAAGATGAAACCAAAGAAGCAATATTCGATGATTGTCTCTTAGATTTTTCATCTCTAAGGAGATAGAGTCCAGCACACATCCTAGCATTGCTACTCTTCTCCCCCGAATCCAAGCCCTGAAATTCACACATGTTAGAAAGAAATTTAGTAACACAATTAAGATCTCTCGTAATTTTACTAATAGACAAAAGGTTGCAATCTAAATTAGGGACATGAAGAACTGAGTCAAGTGTTATGTCCTTTGAAATAATGATTGAACCGGTTGTTGGAGTTATCTTAGTGGTGGTAGAATTTCCATGACTTTCTCGATTTCGAGTATATCGTGATTTGCAATCAGTAGGTTTCTCATGGATTTGCCAACAATTTTCCTATGTGTGTCCTTCCTTTTGACAATGGTCACACCAAGGTTTGTTACATTTCTTTTGTTGTATTTCACCAACTTGGTAGGATTTTGTTCGTCGTACAGTAGGGGCTGAATTTTCTGTCTCTTGTGGATTGCATGAGGTCCCTAACATCACTTTCTTTCTACTCTCTTCTTGGCGGACCTCAGAAAAAACTTCTTGGATGCTAGGTAATGGCTTGATGCTAAGAATTCTGTGACAAACATAACAAGGCTCTTGTTTAGACCGAGTAAAAACTTATAAACTTAGTCCTTCTCTATTATTTTCCTATATTGTTGGCTATCATAAGGGCACTTTAGTGCTATTTCTTCAAAAATATCTAATTGTTGCCAATAACGAGTTAGGGAATTAAAATATTCCATGATAGAGGAATCTCCTTGCCACAGGTCATGTGGAGTGCTTTTGATCTTGAATATTGCAAACGTGTTGTCTACGTTGGAGTAGGTTGCTTTCGTAGCATCCCAAATCTCCTTGGTAGTTTTGTAGTACATGAAATCCTCACCAATCTCGTTGGTCGTAGAATTGATCAACCACGACATGACCATGCTATTTTGCAACTTCTGGGTTCGATACTTCAAGTCATTCTAGTTGGGTGAAACAACCATTCCCATGAGATAATCTTCCTTACCTTTTCCACAGACAAATAGTATCATTGATTGAGAGCATTGGATGAAGTTTTGTCCATTGAGTTTGTGACCAGTGATAGGCAAAATAAGTGGCTCGAACACACCTAAGCTACTGGCTATGGCGTAGATAGAAATATAGAAAGAAAAAAATATATATAGGTTTTGATGGTTCAGGATGAATGCTTTGATACCATGAAGAAATTAATTAGAATTTTATTTATGAATTCTTAAGAAACTTTCTAGAGTACAAGAGTATATATAGCTAAAACATCAAATCTGGCAAATCTCATGATTTCCTAAAGATAATAACAAATCACCTAAAAATCCTCTAACAATAAATGGAAACTACCAAGTATGAATTTAATCATTGAACCAAATACCTTTTATTTAGGAAACAATCAAAATACGAAATGAATGACACCTAATCAAATCTGGTTAAGAATCAGTTTTCCACACCTTTGTTATATTAAGATCAAGATATCTAGCAAAGAAACTAAAGATCTATTAGTAGGATTGATGATATGGAGGTTGGTATGGTTAAAACTTCAATTTTCAAGAGTTGTATTTATTTTGTTACCTGATTCAACCGGATGGGACCAATCCAATTTTATACAAATTTCATGGTATTGACCTTGTCCACTCTCAAGGAGTTGATTAGACTAGAGGTCTAAACAATTTCTATTCTAACCAATTGGTCGATTAGGTTTTAAAGCATTGTGATGCAGCAAAGTAATGATTCAAATTGAGAGCAATGACAATAGATACACTTTGAGAACAACTAGGAATTTTCGTGGAGTCACAACATAATTATTATGGCATTTGACCACACTTGACTATGAATGCAATTAGAAAATTTTGAAGAGTCACAAGACAATTGGTTGGCATCTCATCAGACTACATAATAATGACTGAAAAAATATTCTCACAACTAATTACTAAAGAAAGATGACACGACTTTAAATAGGAGTCCTAAGGAGATTAGTCCTTAGTAGGTTACAGCTTAATTGCTAGGTAGACTCCATTTTTACTTAATGATGAAGCAATAGCAAAAGAAAATTTTTCATCCTTAAGCATTCTTAAGGATCAAGTAATCCAATAGGTTGCTTTGTCAAAAATCCTAGAGAATACCTACTCAGTAATACAAAATTATAGTAGTAGGAAAGAATTAGTTGCTATAAAATTTAAGGGCTCATTGGATTCTCAATCGTCTCTCCTCGGCTTGATAATGAATGTTAAAGGAACTCAAAACTTTGTACATATAGTCATGAGCAAAGAATCAAAATAGGCTACCAAATGACTCATGGCCAATGGCTAAACACAATGGTTGAAAACTAAAGCTAGCTTGCAATCCAAATGTTCTTATTAAGTGTTAGTATTTAAAGTCAAAGAAAATATTCTAAGTCTCTTTCAAAGAAGATTCTAGGAGAAACTTGATCAAACGCTTTTCAACTCAATGTAATGTAGCTAATTGTAGCCAAATTCTAGAACATCTAAAAACACACCCAAACCAAATGCTATAAACTCAAGAAACTAAAATGGTACTAATTAAACTAAGGACAACAAGCAAAATCAAATTAGTTGGAGAATATTACAAATGAAAGATAAGGCTAGCCTTTTTCCATCCCGTAAACCTAATCCTTCCCATCCCATGATACGAACCCTAGACCTCCAAATTTGAGTCTCGAGTTTTAACAGTTGGGGTGTCCCCTTGCAGACAATATCCTATATGTTTATTAAAACTCCTTTTATCTCACCCTTACCATATGAACTTACAAGTTTTAATTAGATTTTTTATTACTTCGAATTATCATTTGGCTTTGTTTGATAAATTTTATTATTTTTCTAGGAGATTAGAAATGTCACTAAGGCGTCGTGATGTGGAGCAGTGGATGAGTCATCGACGCTTGCCAGCAGAGCTAAGAAGGTATGAGTCCAAGTTTGAGTCTCTTTTTTCTTGCTTTTTTGCAACCATACTATGTCTTGTTACAATTGTCTTTCGTAAAAAATATTTCTTGATATTCTTTCTTGGTTTTTGATTTTGCTTTAGAATAGTGTATATTTTATCTAATACCAAATTTTCAAATTCTTGATCATTAATCATTTGCAAGAGTACACGAAAAGAAGATTTTTTTGAAGAATTTGTTTATATATTGTTAAATCACAAAGGTACATTTATTGTGTATACCTCTCATTTTGGTGCCTAAAATCACACATACCAAAAACAATAAATAGATCTACATTGATTTGTGCTTGTAAGTGGAGTCCCACATAGAAAAGAAATAAGTTAGTGAAAGAAATATGATTTGAATGGATGAAAAGGTTGAATTAATTTTGTTAAGTACATGATATTTGTATGAAAGTGTTGGTGATAAGATGTAGCTCATCATCTTAACATGATTAAATTCTAATCTAAGATTACAGCTAGCTTATCATCTTAATAGGATTAAATCCTAATATAATATTACAACTTGTGGAAAAACTAAAAAATAAAACTGTGTGAAAAACTAAGAGCAAAACTAAATGCATATTGAAAAACTACTCTTAAGAATTATACAAGCATCTTAGGTTTATATACAACTAACTAGTGGGTAAACTAGGAAACTAAATCTTTCTAAAACTGATCTTATAATTAAGAGATTATCTATTTTAATTTTTTGTTCTTAATTCTAGGGATACAAATATTTAATTCTAGGGATACAAATATAAATATACAGATTAGAAAATTGCAACCAGCTATATAACTAATTATTTTCCCACACCCCCCCTCAAGTTGGTGAATAAGTGTTTTTCATTCCCAGCTTGGAAATAATTTCTTAAAATGTTGCACTACTTAGACCTTTAGTTAACACATCTGCAAGTTGACCCTTGGTTGATACATATGGTGTATAGATCAACTTACTGTCTAGTTTCTCCTTTATGAAGTGTTGGTTTACTTTAATATGTTTTGTTCTGTCATGTTGCACAGGATTATATGCAATGCTTATTGCGGACTTGTTATCACAATAGAGTCTCATTGGTCCATCTCACTTGATTTTCAAGTCTTCTAGAATAATCATAGTAGTTCACAAATTCCTTGAGCCATTGCTCTAAACTTTGCTTCAGCACTTGATCTTGTCACATTCCGTTTTTTATTTGTCCAAGTCACAAGATTACCACCAAGGAAAGTGCAATAACCTGAGGTGGATCTTTTTTCAGTTACTGAACCTGCATAATCTGCATCTTTATATGCGTCTAGAACCAGCCCCGAATTTTTTTTAAACAAGATACCTCTCCCGGGATTGGCCTTTAAATAGTGTAATACATGGTAGACAACCTGTAATTGCACTTCTTTAGGATTATGCATAAATTGACTTATCACACTTAAAGTATATGCTATGTCAAGTCTACTATGTGAGAGATAAATGAATCTTCCAACTAATCTCTGGCACATTTCTCTATCTACAGCAACATCTTCATTAGAGGTATTTGCAAGTTTATAGGTGAGCTTCCTAGTTTCTTTTAAAAGATTCATCACATATTTCTATTGTGGGATGAAAATACCATGCGGTGAGTGAGCTACTTCAATTCCTAAGAAGTACTTCAATCTCCGTAGCGCTTTTATCTCAAATTCTCTAGCCAAACATTGTTTTAAAAATTTTCTATCTTTTTCATCATTTTCGGTCACAATTATATCATCAACATACACTTATAGAACTGTGACTCTTCCTAAATCCAAGTGCTTGATAAATAATGTGTGATCTCCTTGACTTCGCTCATATCCCATTGCTAGCATCACTTTGGCAAATCTTCTAAACCAAGCCCTAGGAGACTATTTAATAGACCTGGCAATTTGAAACACAACACAGTGACACGATACGAAAACGATATGAATAAAGGACACAAAGATAACACGGTTTAAAATTTTAGAAAAACCATAAATAGGTTTACTAAAACTAAAAAATTGTATTTTATGTTTTCGTGTCGACACGAACTGTGACATGCGATTTTTATGTAAAATACGATACAAATACAATATGTCATACGACATGGTGATACAAATTGCTAGGTTTATTGTTTAAGACCATATAAAGCCTTTTTTAGCTTGCATATTTTGTTTGCCTTCGAGATGACCTCTAAATCCCGGTCGAACCTTCGTATATATTTCCTTTTCCAAATCACCATGTAGAAAAGTATTTTTTACATCAAATTGTTGAAGTTGCCAATTGAAATTTGTAGCCAAGGATAACAAAATCCTAACTATATTCATCTTGGCAATTAGAGCAAAAGTTTCTTGATAATCTACTCCATAAGTTTGGGTGTAGCCCTTAGTCACCAACCTAGCTTTATACCTTTCAACGGTACCATTAGCTTTGTATTTTACGTTGAAAACCCATTTACACCCAATTGGATTTTTTCTTTTAGGTAACTCTAGCAGTTCCTAGGTCTTATTTTTCTCTAAGGCCTTAATTTCTATTTTCATGGCTTACCTCCATTTCTTATTGGATAATGCCTCAGATAATGTAGTTGGAATAGAAAGTGTTTAGGCTCACAAGGAAACTTTTGTGGGATGGTGAGAATTTTTCAAATAACACAAAATTAGAGATTGGGTATAGTGGATGCTTAGTACATTCTCTGGTTCCTTTCCTAATTGGCAATAGGCAAATCATAATCATTAGTTTTAGTTTTAGGAGATTTATGCTCATTTTGGGAAATAGAGTTAGAGATTGTACTTACCTCATTTCCATAATTAGGATTGCATTCTTGGACTTGCACCGGTTTAGGAGTTGGAACTTTCCTTCTTGAGTAAATTTGTAATTCTTTCATAGAATCAAGAACAATATTATCCTTTGTCACAACTTTTGTGTTTGGAATGGGTTCAGACTCAGATTTAGTGTTTGATTTGTACTTAGAAGAAACAGGTTTAGATTCAGAATAATTAATGTGTGAAAATGTTGAGGAAGATGACAAGTCAAGCAAAAAGAAGTCTTTATCCTTATTTTTCATGAATGAAGTCTTCCTCTGTAGATAAGGTTGAGTAAACAATGGTTTACTTTCTTTAAAAGTGACATCTGCAAACACAATTTTTTGGTAGGTGGATGATAGCACTTATATCTTTTCTGAATTAATGAATACCCCACAAGAATACACCTAACTGCTCTGGGATCCAACTTTTCTCTATATTGCTGTGAATATGAACAAATGATGCACAACCAAATATCCCTAGGTCTGAGGTTGTTTGCGGTATTACAGTTGGGATAGAATTGTGACAGTAGTTCCATGAGAGTTTTAAATCTCAAAACCCTTGAATGTAACTTTATTTATAATGTGTGTGGTAGTGAGAACAGTTTCCTCTCAGTAGGATTTGGGTACATTTGTGTGAAAAAGTAAGGCTCGGGTTGTGGCTAGTAAATCGCTATTTTTTCTTTTTGCCACTCCATTCTGTTGTGGAGTAGTAACACAAGATTACTCATAGATAATTCCCTTTTTTTGGAATAAGTAGATAGATTTTAATTGAAATATTCTCTTGCATTATCAAACCTAAATCTTTTGATTTTCACTCTATATTAATTTTGGATCATATTTTGGAAGCATAAAAACTGATTTTGATTTAAGTAAAAATATCCAAGAGAGCCTGGTACAATCATCTATAAAATAAACAAACCACTTTGCACCAAAAATATTTGGAATTGTAAAGGTACCCCATATGTCACTATGAACCAAGTAAAAAAGAGTAGAATTTCTTTTGTAACTAATTGGAAAAGACACGTCTATGCTTTGCAAATTCACAAACATCACAATGAAAATTTTCAACATTTAATCCTTTGAATAAAGAAGGAAACATCTTTTTCAAAGTTCCGAAAGAAGGATGTCCAAAACGAAAATGATAAAGCCAAATTTTTGTCTATATTGGGAGATTTTTTTGAAAGAAATGACAAAGTTAAATTATTCTTGATGTTACTTGTGTTGTTTGATTTCTCAAAATAGTATAGTCCATCATTTTCCTTAACAAGTCCAATCCTCTTTCCCAAACGTTGGTCATGAAATTCACAATATAAGGGATAAAAGGTCACTTTGCAAGTCATGTATCTAGTAAGTTTTTATATAGATATCAGATTAATAGACAATCAAGGAACATGAAAAATATTTTTAAGAACAAATTAATTTGAACATCTCCTAATTTTGCCACTATAATAAGTGAACTATCTGCAATAATAATTTTTTTATTACTAGGACATAAGGTGTATATACTAAATTTTTGTAAAGAATGTATCATATGGATTGTGGCTCATGGGGTAATGACCCAAGAATTCATGATAGGCTTAATTGAGACATTTAATCTATGAGAATCAAAGACTTTAGTTGAACTAGAGACCTTACCCGAGGAACATACTCTAGTAGGCTTTTCAAGTGTTTTCAATAGGCTTCTCAGTTTCTCAAATTTTTCTCTATTCAACTTTCATTGTTCCCAAGACATCTGTAGTACTCCAATGGTTTTACCAGTTGGCACTTCCTTAAATTGGATGAAAGTGGTAGCAAATTTTGTTATTTTTTTTGGAACTGAAACAAGTTTTAACAATTAAGATATAACTAGAAATGAGTCTTAGCAATGAAGGCTAAAAAAGGGAAAAATAAAATGGCTATGAAGGCCTTAACAACATTCGGCAATGAAAGCCTAAAATAGAAGTAAACAATGAAGGCTGAAAATTTTGCTTCCCAAGAAGACCATAAAGCTTTGATACCATATGGAAAAACTAAAAAATAAAAATGTGTGAAAAACTAAGAGTAAAACTTAATGTATATTGACAAATTGCTTTTAAGAATTATACAAGCACCTTAAGTTTATATAAAACTAACTAGAGGGTAAACTAGAAAACTAAATCTTCCTAAAATTGATCCTATAATTAAGGGATTATCTATCCTAATTTTTTGTCTTTAATTCTATGG